CCACAAGGGGGCGTACTGCAGACAGCATGGCGAGGCGTCCATGGTGGACGTGCGGAACAAGCGTTGCGCCTACGTCGGATGTACAACTCAGCCGACTTGGGGCTACTGGGCAGACGGGAAGAGTACGTTCTGCACCAAACACAAAGGCGACCTCAAAGACGGGCTCGCAATCGACTACAGACGGACATGCAAGGTAGATGGTGTGAAAGGATGCTGTAAAAGGGTGAAGTGGGGAGTGGCCGGCGAGCACCCGACTCACTGCGACAAGCATGGTGCACAGAATGCCCGCTTCGTCCGCGTCCCGAGCCGTCGGATGTGGACATCAGCATACTCTTCCTCCTCTGGAACAACCGTGGGCGAAAGCCATGCCTCCGGGGCTGGCAAGAGGAAGGACGAAGCCGAGACCACGGCGGGGGTGGAGTCGAGAGGGCCCGCAAGGTACCACCAACCGGTGGAGAGCCCACATCCAGGGCGCGCTGATGATTTCTGACATACATCAACCAATGGTTGACAACGAAGGATATCCCTGAGCGAATGCATTCAACAGAAGGGAGAGAGAGGGAGAGCGGGAGGGAGAGCGGGAGGGAGGGAGGGAGGGAGGGAGAGAGAGAGGGGGAGGGACAGAGTCAAGAGAGATTGAGAGTGAGAGTGAGAGTGAGAGTGAGAGTGAGAGTGAGAGTGAGAGTGAGAGTGAGTGAGAGAGAGAGAGAGAGAGAGAGAGGGAGAGAGAGAGAGAGAGAGAGAGAGAGAGAGAGAGAGAGAGAGAGAGAGAGAGAGAGAGAGAGAGAGAGAGAGAGAGAGAGAGAGAGAGAGAGAGAGAGAGAGAGAGACAGGCAGACAGAGAGAGAAAGAGAGAAAGAGAGAGAGAGAGAGAGGGAGAGCGAGGGACAGACGGAGGGGAGGAGGAGGACAGAGTACCACATGGAACGGGGGGTACTCGGAATGCACGGAGTCGAAAAAGCAAGGATCACTTCTCGTGGAAGCCCATCCGCGCTGCGGTAGACTATGGTTGTTGCCTAGCATAGACTTTAGCGAGTGGCAGACTGTTCATCTGGTGTGCGCATGACTGCGACTGGGTTGATGGAAACAAGTAACGGTAATGATATTTGGGACACCTGCCATTTTAGACAAAGGTATTTGACGACACCACTCGAAAATGCTTCGAAACCACCTTCACTGGGTGTTTCCCTGGGTCTCAGGTGTTGCGACAGCCCTCGTTCGTCCCAAAAAGGGACTGGTACTTGCCGAGATATGACCCAAAATGATGTCACGGCACCACCTCCCCCGGCGGTGGCGTACTGTAGATGAGCTAACCTTGTGTACGACACCGCTTTAAGCTCCTCGGGACCACTTTCAATCAGGCCAAAACCCAAATTCGCGGTGGGCGCAGGGACCACAATTGCTACAGAAGCCGCAGCACCCTCACGGTGGTGCCTTACATATAGGGCTTGTCTACAGTACGACACGGCTCGAAACGTTTCGAAACCACCTCCCATGGACACGAACCCAAACGAAATGGGTTCACACGGCCCCCAGCTGTCACATAAGCCGTCTTTCGGCCCCAACCGACACCTGCTTGCTGAGAAATTTCCACGAATGCCGCCACGAAGCACTCACAGGGTGGAGAAGAACGACGTGACGGTGCTTGTACTTCTGTGATTCATAAACACTCCGAGAACAAGGGGATGGTAATGACTTTTGAACGAGCAAGCACGGAAGATTCACTTGAAGCTGGTTCCGACTCGCATGTGGAGTAATCCTGAGGAAGATCTCACGGCGGCTGTCATCTAGATGTTCGTACAGGACACACCAAACGCTCTTTTCAGTGGGTGGTGGGATATGACTTGCCTAGTAACAATGTCTGTGTGTATCCAAAACATAGAACTATATCCGGCTGAAGCTGAATTGCGCGTCGGCATAAGATTGTTTCGTGCATGTAGAGCCTGTGAACTCACTCTCCAACTAACCCCATGCATGCTCGAACACTACATACCTTCATCGACAACCATCACCCACCGTCGTCACAGTACCGCTTGGGCGGGTAATGCCCAGGAAACGTTTTAAACCAGCCCACTGACTCTTTGGTATTTCAATGATTTTGCTTAACCATCCGTGCTTGGGGCGTTGGCAGCTGTGTATCACATGACCGAACACATTGTTGTTGGATTGGAGGACGTTTGAGTTGGATATTGTTGTTGACATGGCTCAGGCATGTGCCCCCCATGTCTATCACTGAAGCAACTGAATCCAGTGTTGATGAGTTCGACTGAGCTAACAGAGAGAAAGACATGTAAATCTGCTGGGGCTGAAGCTGTGATCAGGTGCGACCTGCAGCGAACAACATCACACCACATACATTTGTCTGGTTACCAAATTTCAGTTTACTCTCGGCCTCGACTGAGGCTATAACGGACGGCACATGGACGCCTTTTGTTTCAGGCTAACGGCCCATTTTTTCGTTCACTTCTCTTGCAAATCGTACTATATAGCCAAGGCGTGTGTGGTTTTACGTAGATATCCGACCAAATTGTGCCCCATTCAGAAGATTCGCTGACTGGCTGTTGCTGCTCCACCCGTATCCATCTTTTGTGGCGGCGGGATGTTGCGGCGAACTACACCAGGAAGAGTTTCTTGGACAGCTGCTTTCGCCAAGAACCTGTGACATTCTACAGGATACAGTTGTAGTCTAGTTGTGTCTCTTGCATTCCTGGGCTTTGTCCTGACTACTCTTCGAAATCTTAAATCGTTTGACAGGGCGGGTTGCATTCATCGCAAGATGTCAAACCGCCCTACGCCACAACCTACCGGCCTTGGGCCTCCCACACCCTACAGTTTTGCTAAACCGCCCATGGGTACGCCATATGGGCTGCCCATGAGCATGCCCATGGGTAGCCCGTGGGCAGCCCAATGAGTGCCCTTCAACCGGGACTAGTGTATACTCGCAAACAACAGATTTTCTGCTCTGGAACCATTATTACAACGGCAATTAACGCTAACGCTAACCCTAACCCTAACCCCAAGCCCACACGATACGTATTAGGTGGTGCTGGGTGGCAAAGTTCTAGGTTGATGTGCCGATGGCTAAGTTCCACAGTACGTAATTGATATGCCAGTGGCGAGTTCTAATAGGTTGAAGTGCCCACGGTAGGCACTTCGTGAGCAGTTCATGGGCCGCCCACGGGACCACCGATGGGCAGCTCATGGGCAGCCAATGGGTGTCGCATGGGCGGTTTGGCGAAATTCACGGTGTGGGAGATTGCCGGCCTTGGCTACTGCCGTCATGAAAAACACTTTGCCAATGCGGCGCGCCGGTTGTCGTCATCTCACCATACCGTCTACCAACTCAGGCACCAGCCTCGGTCGTGTGGATCCGTGGTTTTGCGTCCGATTCTTACACGTGTGAATGCATACTGCGCATCGGGATATTGTGGATTTTGATGCCATCATATCGGAGCATTTCACCATTCAGGTGCCACTATATCGGGACCACCTCTTGATACATATATATATATATATTTCTCCCATCATTGGACTCTGTCGTCTGCCCCTCTGGCCCCTATCCTCCACTTCTGCTATTATAGCTAGACGACCCAACCGGGGTCACATAGGAGGGGGGATTTGGACCCCCTCCTGCGGTTCCTGCCTGAGATATTTTTATCGCGAGAAGGGTACAGCAATCCCTTCCCTCGCGACTTCGACTATGAAGTCGATCCAGTTTACCAACAACGAGCTTCGCAGCGCGTCGGTTCCAACTTATTAGAGTCAGGATGTATTTAGTGAGAAAAAGCTCACTTTGCCGGGATTCGAACCCATGACCTGGCCCTATAATAGGAGGCTGCGAGGGTACCCACTGGACCGCCGGGGCGATATCCATTAGCATGTATGCTCTGGTCAGGAAGACGTACATTATTTACATCGAGCGGGATACCACACTTGAAGCATGTCGAAACAACCACACAAAAGTACAAACGCGCGGTCATGCGCTTCAGCAGAGCTCTTCAATACCTTATTTTGTTGTTGTCAAGAGCCCACGGCGAAATATGGCGTGGGGAACCGTCGACCTCCGTACACAAATCGGGCTAGGGTGTGTGGTATCTTACGCACCCTCAAGCATGCACCCGGCCATCCGACCAGCGGGAAATTTCGTTCGCCTCGGTTGCACCGCAATTTTCTCGGGGGGATGCCCCGCATCTCTTGTTCCAGTGACGCCCTATCTACACACACCTCGTGCCGATACCAGCGAGCATACATTAAGCCATGCGTCGTGCTTTGGCTGCCGTGGCTGCTCTTCGTCGTTGTGGTCCTCAGCGGCGATACGCGCACGCCAAGTGCCAAGCGAACAACGCGCGACTCTCTCCGGTGCCGTACCTGCAGCGCGCCGCCATGTTGAACCCCGACAAGACGGCGGTCAAGTACGGTGACGACATCTCCCTGACCTACAGCGAGTTGATGGTGAGACTAAGCAGTGTTGTTATTGCCATGTGCTGGTTGGATTATTGTGTGTGTTTGGACGGCGCTCTTTGCTGTGTGTCACACTTTCCCCGCCGCCCCTGCTGTTGTGATGTCCTACCCTCCGCCTTGAGAGACAGAGGCATGCTCGTTTGGTTGCCATTTGACTACAGCATAGTGCATGCGCAAGGAATGGTGGTCGCTCCCATTAGGCAGGATTGTGGGCACCCGAAGACTTATGCAGGGCGTTTTCCGCACAGTACAAGCAGTATATAGTCCATCGGCTTGTCGGGCGTGGCATGTCTGTAAGAAGTCTACTTCTGCAGATGGAGACTTCCACCACATGCAGGACACAACCTCCCGAGACACTGACCGGATCAACATGCATGTACACGCCAGTACCGGCATTGGCCAGTACCGGCATTGTGCCTGTGACTCCCCGACGCTCTCTGTTTCCTCTGGACTGCTGGATACACTGAAGACTAAATATTCTTACTGCAACAACGGCAGGCAGCTAGGGCCTGTTCGTCCAAAGCGACCGGATGTGTTTGTTTCAGCTGCTGTAGCAGGCGTTGCAAGAAATCTTTCCAATCGCTTTGTGCGGAAGAGATGGATTCTGTTTTTGTGTTTGCACGAAAAAAGAAAGAAAAAAGAAAATTATTGGCGGCCTCGGGTGTTACTGCTGTACACGACCAGACACCATGTCGAAGGGCGTAGACTGAGAGTTGCACGGGAGAATGAACGGGACGGAATGGTTGGGTGAATGGAATGCAGAAGATAGACAATGTCTACAGAGGTTTGTACAGAATCCTACCCGGGTTCGGCAACGAATACGAAAACCATGCCGTGGAACACGGCACAGCTGCGTGAATACGGCAAATATCGGGAAACTATTCTGTTTCGACGTATGTTGAGATGCGGGTAAGGGATTGGTGTACATGTGTTTATGGACAACCCCGAAATTTTGTGCGAAGGCTTTCTTTATGACATGCTGACATACCCGGTTTTCTCCGTTGTGACACTTCCGAACCTTCGCCGATACGCGTGCGACTGCTGTGACGCTTCCAAGAACCCCATCCGGACGTTGCAAAATTTTCCCTTGTCGAAATTCTCTTCGCTGTTTTTTTTGGGGCACAAATGCATCGAGCCGTTGCCAGTTTCTTCCGCGTGCCATTGTGCCGGCTTGCGGGGTGGCCGCCCCCTTCGCAGTGCGGTCTTCCTCATGCGCAAGTTTTCACCGGTGAATCGATCCGCGGAGGAACAACAGCCCGAAAGTATCTACCGTAGGAGACGGAGAGATGGCACCCCCCCCCTAGACCGATTCCATAGCTAGATAACTCCGCAACCATGATTGTGCCGAAAACTGTGGAGTCGTCTCGGCGGGTGTTGTCGGGGCTCTTTCCGCAGCCCCTTGGTTGTGGGGAGCAATCGAGTCTGTCTAGAGGGGGTGCCATTTCTCCATCTCTTGCGGTTTCTCTCCCGTAGAACTCGAGGTTCCGCTGTTCAAGGGAAACCTACGCCCGACCATCGGCAAGATACCACTCTGTTCGGATACATAGGGACCATTGTTGTGTTCGCACTTGTATCCGAATGACCCCTATATCGTGGTATATGCCAAGCAGAAACCCGTTCCTTCTTCTCGTCGTTGGTCGAATGCTCTCCTCGCGGCTGTGCTCGACGTTACCAGACGGAGACGAGACAACTGGCCAGCGCTGTGTCGAGAGCCGGCGTGCTCCCCGGGCAGGTGGTGTCAGTCTTGGTGCCCAACGTGCCCGTCGCGATCACCTGCCACTTCGCCATCCCCGGGATGGGGGCGACGCTGCACATGATCAACACCAGGCTGGACGCCAGAGCGGTTGCGTTTCAGGCGAGTGCGGAGAGCGGCGTAGACGTTACTCGCCTCAGGAGGGGGGCGTACTCGTGTTTTGCGTGCCCTAATAGCTGTTGTAGCTCATTGACCAACGGAGGGGGGCTGTACTCATGGCCGTCAACGATCAAGATTTCAGGCGGCATGAGGCACAAGAGTCGTACCTCAAGATTTCATTGCGATGAGAACTTGTGTGTTTGCCCGCAATCACGAATGGCCGGGAAGAATCGAAAAGACGTGCTGTTACTCAGACAGCGCCTGCGAAAATAGATTGCCCCCGCCCGAAAGAGCAATTGACCTGTTGTGAGATTGTGTCGTTACGCTAGTTCTGTGTTCTTGCTCCAAGTAGTGGCGGCTTTCAGGTGCTGCTCATTAGCGATTTCTCCGGTGTCGAGCATGGTTTGCTGACCAAACGCAAGGACTGCAGAGCACATGGACACGTGCTTTGCTCCCGCCGGTTTTCCGCTCGCCATGATGAAAATGACTGCCACATTTACAGGATCTACTTGCTTGTGTGTTCTGTGCTATTTTGTGTTGTGTAGGGCGTCTGTCACCTTTCGGTGTTTCTGAATAAGGTGATCCTACCCTTGCTGATTGGGCATCCCACACGTGGTTGATGATAGTGGCGTGTACAGTGTGCTTGTTTGGATCTTGTTGATGCTATTGTGGTGGTTGTTGTCGTCGTTCTCGACTTCGAGCTTAAAAACGTTCCTAGTCGTCTACCAACAATGTTCACAATTTTGTGTCCGTAGAGCTGACTTCCCGCCCGTGGTTCTGTTTCCCTTTTTGTCGACAGCTCGAGCATGCAGAAAGCAAGCTTCTGATCGTTGACTGCGAGCTCGCTGGCATTGCAAAGGACGCCCTCGAGATGATAGAAGACGAGAGCAAACGGCCGCACCTCATACAGGCGGAGGACCCGATGCACGCCGAGTGGTCCGCAACTGACGGAGAGGAACTGAGGGATTTTATGAGGTGTAACTGATGTGTGCCAGATGGCTAGGTAGATGACGTGTGCGGCATGCTACCTTGTAAGGGCCCCATGGGTGATAGACGATGGACAAGTTCGACGGCAAGAAGACATCTGCACAACCGTCGGCGCTTGACCTCAAACCGGTGATAGCAGTAACTTCATCTGTATATCAGACTTTCCCGATAATGATTTATGTTGATGCCGTAGGCGGAGACGTACGTGTTTGGCAGACACAGAAAGGCCTTTGGTACCAAGGAGAATTTTTCTACATTTTGTCTTCTATACTGAAAATTAAACAATACCCAAAAACAAAGCGAAACAAAACACAAGCATATTGCTATATATCGTTGTTTTTTTTCATTTTGGTCAAAATCGGCGCGTCGTTGTGCGATAAACTACGCCCACTTTGCCAGGACGGGCGACCCGAACTTCGAGTTGCCCGGAGCTGAGCACGAGGACGACGCGATTGCGCTATCTTACACCAGCGGTACCACTGGAAACCCCAAAGGGGTTCTCACGCACCACCGCGGCGCCGCTCTGAACTCCATGAGCGTGAGCATAACGTAAGGAATGCGTATTGCTTAGTGGTCATGCGTGTCGCGGTCTCCGCAAGAGAGAAAGAGCCAGGCGGTGTTGACTTTGTCTTGACGATGGGGCGACTGTAACGTGATCGTGTTCACCTGCTTGCTTCTCTAGGTTACAGGAGTTCGTACCTTTTCCCGTGTGATGTAGACTTGGCATGGCTCTGGCCAAGCAGGAATAACCTGACCCAACACCAATTCATGTTTGCGGCTGCCGACGTTGCGCGGTTGGATGGCCATTGCTGCCCAATGATTGAAATACTATGTCCAAAGTTACAGCTTTCTCCTAGCAATGGTATTCGTTTATCAGAACGTCCTTTCCGCTCAGAATCATGCTCATCCCATGTTCACCCAGGTGGCCGCTAGTGGGCGGAGACGTTAAGTATTTGTGGACACTCCCCATGTTCCACTGCAATGGTTGGTGTCTTCCCTGGGCCATCACCGCGGGTGAGAACGATCTGCGTGTTGTTGGTGACAGTAGTGTTACAATATATTTTTATTACTATCACCTTCGTAGTGTGGAGGACATTTTCAACGCAGTGAGATTGATAGTGTGAGGACAGTGGCAAGCAATGGAGAACTACAAACAAATGCACAATTGTAGACGGTAGAGAACAACAGCAACAACTGTGCAACAGCTATCAACCGAAGCTGTGCACTTGTCACGACATTATGCCTGCCGGCACACAATGATCGCTGGGAGCATCGAGAGACGCTTGTGGGGTACGCTGCGTGTGAACGATGACTTGGCAGCCGTAGCACAACTTCCAGGCAGATAGTGCTGCCTTCGTTTTGGGGTTATTCGCTAACGTCATGCGGCTTTCACACCTTTCTTTCGGCGTATAGTAATCACCGGGTGGTGCGGCCACGGTGCCGTAGATATTCCTTGCATGACTCCTCTCAGATGTCCATGGAAAACATTCTGCACCTCTGTGCACGTGATTGACATGTTGTGAACCCCAAGCGGGCTTAGCGCAGACTAAGCCGGTGCACACAAAACTTTTGGTCATTATGCCATGGCCATGTCGGGGCTACCTATTTACCTTCCGTGGATATTTTGTCTCGGTTTGCTCAGTTTCCTTCCTATCTCCGGTTGATGCTACTCTCGGCGACTGGACCCCGTGCGCACTATCGAATATGGCCGTTACGCGTCCCGTGTTGCTCTGCTTCCTCTTGTGAACCTGCCGCCGACCAGTTTGTGGAACCCACGTGTGCTTGAGATACGTCCGCGCCGCGGACATTCTGAGCGCGATCGCTAGGGAGGGAATCACGCATCTGTGCGGCGCCCCAGGCAAGCGAACGTGTCTTCAAGTGACGTCACTTTCGATTTAACGCTTAATCATTGCTTGGTGTATGTGCTTCGGAGCATGAACATTGCAAACTGGTCAGGACTTCTCGAAAATCTGGGAGATAATTATTTTCTCCAATGGACTGTGGAGCTAGGATAGGGATCGAGAGGGAGAGAATTATTTTCTCCAATGGACTGTGGAGCTAGGATAGGGATCGAGAGTACCTCCTATCTCCTGTCCTTGCGGTAAAACGTTTGGGCTTCTCCAAAAGAACGACTTTGTACCGTTGCCTAGTTATGAACAGCTCTCACGTCGGAGCTCTGCGAAAGGTTGCCGCGCCAGAGAACACCCTGATAGTTTAATTGCTTACCTGCTGTGTTGCTCACCCACAGAACATGTAACCCAAGATGCGCTGTTTGGATCCGATGTGATAAAGACTTTTTTCGTTGCAGGGAAAGAGGATGTGACCGCCTTCGTGGGTTGGCACACGATGGTCCCAGACCATGATGGGATGGAAAACATTCCAATTGCGCGAAGTTGGGGTTTTGCCTTGTTTCACACCCTCACTCGCTCTTTTTTTTCTTGCCGCAGTCGTGATGAACTTGTTGCTTGGTGCGACGGAGGAAGAGAAGGCGCCGGTGACGGAAAGGGTGGGTCACTAACCGGTTGCGTACCTGTAGGCATGCCTGTTTGTCTCAATTTGTTTTCTCCGTGGCTTCCTGCAGTAGCCATGGTCTCGTGCAACCGAATCAATCGATTTCAAGGTGGGCATTACCTATGCCAACCCTACGGATTTCACACAGTAATGAAGACACCGAAAACTTGACAGAGTGCTGGTAAACCCAGCGTTGTGTTGTTGTACCTGCCTCAATATTCTCAACGTTCTGTCCTGACGTTTCTGACACAAATAACTGCCAAGCACTTATGATTTTTTGCGGGCGGGCGTCTTCTTGTGCGTGTGCGACCGTGTTGATGGCAAGGCTCACTACCGCCACGAGCGGCGGAGCTGTTCGAAATTAATACGACATATTACTCGTTTTCTTCGCTAGTTTGCTATGCGCGGCTTACTGGTTTCCAGCAGCTTTGGTGAGCTGTGCATTACGATTGTCCTGTGGCCAGACGTCCTCTATGGCGCACGTGGTGCGTGCCTTGGGGGGGTGCTTTGGTCTGTTGTCGTTTCATCCATTCTCCAGGCAAGAGATAAGGGCACATACCGCGTTCAGTTGTCCTGTGGCCAGAGGTCCTCTATATGGGCAACGTGGTGCAGGTGGTGCTTGTCTTAGGGCAGGGCTCACTAACGCCACAAGCGGCGCAGCTGTTCGAATGGTCTGTTTTCGTTTCATCCATTCTCCAGGCAAGAGATATGTGCACATACCACGTTCAGGTGTCTTGGATGTGAACCTTACGCGTTGTGTCTGCGTTTCCCTGTTGTTCAACAGATGCCACCCCGAGTGATACAGATGATGACAGGAGGAGCTGCGCCTCCCCCGTCCGTGATGCGCGAATTGGAGCAGGAGCTCGGCATCCGACCACTTTCTGCCTACGGTCTGACAGAGGTGGGGTGATCGCATCTAATCGAGGGAGATCCCGGCAGTTTGTGGCTACGCCGGATGTCTTGAGCGACCCTCTCGACTGAAAGACGGGCTCACGAAAATACTGTTAAGCCTTCATATCGCCGGTCTCATACGTCTTCAAATTGTTATCAAACGGTGTAGCGAAGCTTGCTTCTGCCACGTCCCACCGGAAGCAAGATGCTACCACAGTGTTCTCCGGCCGTTGAATGAATGAATTTTCACATGTCGTCCGCGCCCTGCGGCAGGTTTACGGTCCATGTACGTCTAATCTCTGGGACGATAGCTGGGACGACCTGGAAGAGGATGAACGAGGCGCACGGCTTCCCTGGCAAGGTTGGGCTGTTGTTGTTAATGTTGTTTCTTTTTGTTGTTGTTGTTGTTGTTGGTAGTGTTAGTGTTGGTGTTGTGTTGTTGTCTTTGGTGGTGTGTTTTGGTTGTAATTTTTGGTGGTGGTGGTGGTGCTGCTGCTGCTGCTGTTGTCTGAAGTTCCGCTCGGCGTTGCCTTTCTGTACCTGTGGTATTCCTTCATTGCTCCGTTGGCAGACGTCTGTATTGCCGAGTCTCCGTTACCGTTGTTGACTAAATCTTTTTTGCTTGGTTCTGCTATTTGTTCGCAGCTCCCTCATTGGTCCACGAAATGTACGTAGCCGAGAAGGGAGGATTCGATGCTGTCCCCGCAGATGGCGTTACGCTGGGGGAGGTCCTACTCAGAGGTACGAAACTGACGGCTGGGGTCCTACGAAGTCGAAATAGTTATGGCACGGCCACCAACCCCCGTCCTGCTCACCTATCACCTCTATCGAGCGGCGCACCGTTCGAGACCGACCGCCGTAAACATGTCTGACAAGGCGATCAATTCGCAATTTGGTGGCGTACCATAGCTTCCAAGAGGAGGAGATCGAACTCTTACCGCCCGAGATGATACACCGCCACGACAAGGGTTGCGGTGGCAGGTATATCGCACGCAGACTTGTTGTGGAATTGCGTTGGGAGAGGGCCTGCGTAATGATGACGAGGTGGATAACTTTATTGCTTCTTGTGGGCAAGTACGTTTTCTGATTCCTTGGCCGTGCTCGACCTGCCCCTGGATGAAATGTGGTTCGACAGGCAACGCCGTGATGAAGGGATACCTCAACAACGAGGAGGCCACGAAGGAAGCATTCGATCAGGCGAGGGCAAAGACGGGTGGGATAGCACACGTGGGCTTTGCCAACACGCGTACGGGACTGTGGGTGGAAAACAGATGCCGAGGGTGTGAGACTTGTGAATCTGACGTGGGGTAGAACAGGCTCATCTTGCTTTCGATCACGTCGTCATCATTGCTTGGTGGAAAAGAGGTGTCAAAGGTGGGGTGTTGTTGGGGAGGCGTTCATTTGAGCAGGCAAAGCCGCGGAGTGATTACTGCTGAAAATGACTTCGTCTTGCACCTGGGCTGTGTGCTATATGCACTTCCAAACCGGCAACAATTCGGTTGTTGCTGTATTTGGATGGAATGGGGTAAGATCGGTTGTACAGAACGGGCGTTATGTGCGATACTCCACACCCCCGCATGTCATGAACCAGGTCTGGTGGCATGGCATAGCAGGTCACCCTGCGTTTGGTCCAATGAGATTTACCCCAAACACGGCGCATGGAGGTACGGCTTTGGTTGCAACTTCACAATAACTTCTTTGAGATGCTCCAAAAATGCGTCCCGTTCGGTTTGCGATACTTCCTCGACTAAATCTGACGCGTTGAGATGTTGACTCGCTTCACAGGGCCAGTGGTTCAGGACGGGAGATATGGCCGTCCAGCACCCGGGGGGGCGTGTTGAGATCAAGGACAGAGAGAAGGACATCATCATTAGGTGCGAAACAAATCCTTTACAACTGCTGTAATAAAAGTGGACAAAGTATCCACCGTCGTAGTGCTTTCGCCCGGAGGTTTTTCTGTTCCCCATTCCGAATTTCTTCGTTCTTCCTACAGCTACCTTTCTGCTCATCATTTCGTGAAGTTATTCTGTTTGCACCCAGAACAACGGCCTCATGAATTTGCTTAAATTTCGGTTTTCGGCTTTGGGCAAAATATTTGGGCTACGTTATTTTGCGTCGGCGCTTCTAATCACCCGTTGTCACGCCCGGCTCCGTACTTTCGATGTTTTTTCCCTGGCCGTTGACCGGAAACAGTGGAGGCGAGAATATTTCCTCGATAGAGGTGGAAACAGCGCTGCACCAGCACGAGGGTGTCCTGCACGTGGCCGTGGTGGCGTTGCCGGACCCCTTCTGGGGAGAGACGCCGGTCGCGGTGATTGAAGCCAAGCCTGGCGCAAAGGTGATACTCGGCACGGCGTCGGCAGGATATTGTTTTTCGCCCAAGCGACAAGCATGAGGTGTGCAAAGATGCAGTGCCCCCTTCCGGACGAATGAAGAACATCCCACACGCTCTCTCCCGACGCGGAAAGAACCGTCTTGTCTCCTGTGATTTCTCTTCGTATTTCGAGCTTTTTGGTCAAAGTTGCCGGGGTTTGGTTCGCAAGGTAATTTTGGTCGCCGGTCCATCTCTAGCTGTTTCAGGATTTCCTTCAGACAAGCCGGACGAAATGTGCAGCGTTGACTCGACGCGTGACTGGCATTTAAAAGTGGTCCAAGACAGCGTACACCACAGATACGATGTTTCATAGGGGGCTCACAGGTCGCACTCGCTGCGTTCGTGTAATGAGGTCATGTTCCAGGTTTTTCCCTCGTTTGCGACCAGATCACAACACTGATGTTTTGCCCCCGCCCGTGCTTGCAATATTTCCTGGGTGCACAGGTGTCGGGAGAAGACATCATCTCCCACGCCAGAAGCATCCTCGCCAAATTCAAATGCCCGAAATGCCCGATCAAGGATGTCATATTCAGAGAGCTTCCGAAGACAGCTACTGGTGAGTTGACAAGTACGATGACGCGGCCTTGCAACCAGAATCAACATTTTGTACTTGGAGCACTTTTCGTGAGGGACAGAATGATGGACGTATTTCCGAAACAAAGGAAGGGATGCGTAGCATGGAGCGGTTTTGGGGACTTTGTTGGCACGATGCCAACCGGAAAGTACTCCATCTTGCAAGCAGTGGTGGCGAAACTTTGAAGAATACCAAATGCACCCTTTCTAGAGTCGGAATCGTCCGTCAAACACTACCGTGAAATAGCCCTGCACCAAGCGAAACATTATATTCATGTCAACCACAACGGAAATGCTTTTGCCTGGAAGAGGGTCCAACTTTGCTGCTACCGCGTCCTGTCGCTTGTCCAATCGCAGGAAAAATCCAGAAGCATGTGCTGAGGGCTGAGCTTCTGGCCGAGCGTACTGCAAAAACAAAATCTAATGTTCCCCAGTGAGGCTAGTGACGGTCGTGGAACTTGCGCTTTCGAGTCGAGAGCGTTCGTGTAGTAGATGTTGAAGACTCGTGGTACATACAGACCAATATTGATGCCCTGGCGACGGGAATTGTTCAATTCGTATTGTTGCTCAAGAACGCGACTATTTGGACTTTGCCGGGAGGAAGGCAAGTTTATCTTCCACAGGTAGCTGTTCTCGAGTGGGCGTAAGACCGTAGAGAGACCCGAGTTGGCCTCTGCGAAATGGAGTTTTAGATACTCCGGAGTATATGTGTGACTGCGAAGGTTTTGAGAGGCAAATTCATGCCTGATTTGCTTGCATTATGCATTCAATGTATCTTGAAATATGCGGTGATGAAAAACAAAAGCAGCAAGTACAGAGCAACCACGTCGAGTTTATCTCGGAGACCATTTCCAGATACATTCCCATCGACATGTGTTTCACCACTGTGCCTCGCGACCAAGAGACACGACCCCGTTCGAGAAGGATGGTCGCACAGGACATGAACGACAACATAACGCCCACAACACATGGAAGACAACCGGAACAAAACATTTCCGTAGGCGATGTCTCAATACCAAACATAATTGCAACATCACTGCTGGACAGTGCAAAATATGCTGAACGACTCGTGGCACTTGATGCAAATTGCCCTGCCAGAGCGTCGCTCCTGTCTTGTTCATCGCGCACAAGTGACCCGTGCCGCAGGAAGCTCCTTTGATCTCGTCGTCACACCGGCAACACGATGGAACAAAATATTATTCATGCTACGTGCCAGGCCTTCGCGCAAGGAGTGGTGCAAGAGGGTTGCCTTCAATACGGACCAGTTCTAAACGAGCCTTTCGTCGCACAACGTCCAGGCCATTCCGAGTCCCGGCCGTGTCGGGGTGGCTTCCTCCAAGCTTCCTCGTACGGATTGAAAGGGCCCTCTCGAATAGTGGGATTGCCTCCACGTAATGCTCCTGTGGACGTGTGAGATGCAGAGCTGAGAAACTCACTCCAGTGCGAAGACCTTTTGATCAATGAATCATTCGGTCATTAGGTATGTCGTACAGACGATCAGTGGGTTGGAAGCAATCGTATTGTTCCAGCCAGATTGCGAAGCGAAACACATCGACACATGAGCAATGCCACGGAAGGGGAGAGCACATGTTTGAGGCATGGGTTACCCATGGTCGTTCCACCAAGTACCCAAGACTGCCCACAGCGCTCTCAATTTTGCCAAGTCGGACAATCAGTTTGTGGAAAGACAGCCGCCTTCGCGTGCCTGGCGGTCTGCAACACAAGAGGTAACTTGTTGCACTGTTGAGTGAAGAAAGATCTAGCTCCGCAAACCACCCTGTCAGCAAATACACCCTATCGTGATTGCCTCACATGAGGACTCCTCCAAGACGGACACGGTCTCCCAAGTTGTGTCGTCGAAACACTGGCAGCTGCGGTTACCGCTTCCTTCAATGGATGGTCCAACGATCAAGTCTCGTACCTGCTTGTCCAACAACACCGCCCGGTTGTTGAGCCATGTGCCAAGATCTGGGTGATCGGGGCCAAGAACCTTCTCCCCAATCTCAATCGCTCGAAGGTAGAGAGGGTCCGCCTCCCAGTACTTGTCCTGCGTAGCAAATCAATGGGTAATGGTCAAGAGGCCCACAGAGAATGTTTGTGCACACCTTGTGCATACTATTGCTTGTACATGAAATGAGCTCGCCATCTCCTTCCCTCCTTCAATGTGTCCTGGAAGTTAGCAACCGCTCTCACCTGCTTGCTCAACAAAAGCGCCCGGTTGTTGAGCGCTGTAGCAACGTGTGGGTGCTCAGAACCAAATGATTTCTCGTATATCGCCTGGGCCCGTGCATAGAGCCGCTCAGCCTCGGCGTACTTGCCCTGAGGAGAAGAGTTGTGGGTTCGGTCAGCCAGTTGTCCATCACCGAGAAAAACAAAAATGTTTCCCACAGAAAATTGGGCCCTACGAAAGAAAATTCCTGGGGCCCTCACCTGATCGTCCAAGAACCACGCCCGGCTGTTGGGAAGTACCTACGACTTGGTCGAAAACATTGGCGGCTGCTACACACCCGACTGTTAAGCAAACACAAAACCCAATTGCTAGCAAAATTAAGAAAAAAATCGATTCCTCGTGTCCACAAGAACGTTCCCAGGAACGCGTGACAGCCCTCACCTCACTGCTCAACAACCCAGCCCGGTTATTGAGCGCGGTGGCCACTAGAGGGTCGTCCCGACCCAGGATATTCTCCCAAATTCCCGTGGCGCGCAGATACAACTGCGCGGCCTCGTCATACTTCCCCTGAAGTGCGAAGAAGCAATTGCGTAAACGTGTTGAGTTTGTACATGTGGAGAAACGAACATTCAAACCACCGCCCGGCTGTTGAGGCATGTGGCAAGATGGGGTCGTGCGTGCCAAGCGTCCTCTCTCCAATCTCCATATCTCCAAGATAGAACAGGCCCGCCCCTCCGTACTTCCCCAAAATGTCGGGGGTAGCAGCACTACGGGTCTACGATCAAGGCTACAGCAAAATGTTAACGACGGGTGCCCGATCCGGCTTCGGCTTTTTGGGTGAAGAAGGTCTAGATAAGAGTTTTCTCGCCAATTTCAAAATTCGACTGCAGGGAGCGTCCACCCACCTCTTCACGGTTACTCCCGGCAACAAGCAGCCGGTGGTGTGTTAGGCTAAAGGTTAACCAAAAAATGACGATCTTTGCGACTTTTACCGAGCTCTCAACTACCACGAAAGTCTTACGATCGAGAACAAGCAGGATTTTCCGACTTCTACCCTCACCTGGTTTCTCAAATCTTCCGCCCGGACGTGGAGTTCCTTAGCGACCTCTAGGTCTAGTTGGTCGGGGCGCTCGTTTAGCAGCTCTTCTTCTTCGTGCTTGCCCTACACAAACATGACAACACACCAAGAGTGGAGATTGGCGGAGGGGCACTTTCAGGGAACATCATCAACTGCATGCTGCCCCATTGCAAAGATCTGAAGCATATGGTTGTGCCCAGTATCCGAACAAAAAACTAGACGGCCTGGAACGAGAAGGGAAAGAGCTGCGATCGACGTTGGAAGGGTGCAGGAAAAGAGCAGGCCGGCAATGAAAAATCTGGGCTTCGTGGGTCTTCAAGGGTGTGGTCTTTGCTAACTGCCAATGCTCCTACTGTAGAAACTATTCAACGCGATGGTGGTTGCTCACCCTCGTGCTCAGCGTTCGGCCGAACATCTTGGAAAGCTTCTTCTTGAGCCGGTTGCTGCCTGTAGACGGCAGGGGGTCCTCGCTCGCCATTGGCAGGTCCGCACTCGGTGCAAACATGTGCTCGCCACCGGTGCCCTTCGCAGCACGCCGCGACAATTTCCGCCCGAGAGCAGAAAAACCTCTACCGCTACCGGATACAGCGGGCAGCAGCGCATTTCTTTCATCGGCAGAGGTCCCAGAATCAGCTCCGGTCGGTTGGGACGCGAAGTCAGTCAAACCTGACGCTTCAACCTCGCCGCCAACCGTTAATCGCGCCATGCTGGGGGCAACGCTCGGCGCGTCACCATTAACATTGGGACCTGAGGACGAGGAGCCATGCGTGGCCGCCGCTCCGTGATGGCGAGGGTCTCCAACTCGTGACACCACGTTCGCCAGCGCCACCACCACCGGCTCAAACCCCTCGGGGCGTTCCTTGGGGTCTTCCTTCCAGCATTGCTCCATCAGAGGAACGACATCGGGCGAAGCAGACGCACCATGGGGAAGTTTCGGCCGCTCGTTCCTATAGAGCACCGCCCCGATCACCTGTGCAGGCCTCTTCCCCTTGAACGGCTCTGTACGGGTGGCCACTTCGAAGCACAGGACGCCAAAACTGGTTCGGCACAGGTAAACACGAGTAAAAGGGGCGGCGCACGATGAACTTAGGTGGCGACAGCAGGCCAACCACTTCACGGCCACAAAGTGCCAAAGCGTGTCAGTGAGCGAACACCCAAACCGAGGAACTGTCATGACGTCCATCGCAAACAACAAGCACCCTTCACCTGTACACATCTGTAAGCTCGTTCGCCGGGCTTTCGTCCATTTCTTCTGGAGACATCCATTGGGTGGTCCCTACAGCACCGTGCATCGACCTGCTTGAAAGGTCGGTCTTGACCTTGGACAACCCGAAGTCGCAGAGCTTCAGGCGACTGTTGGCGAACATGAGGACGTTCGCAGATTTGAGATCGCGATGCAGGATACCCTTGGTGTGCAAGAACGACATGCCCCTTGCAATATCGTACAGGAACGCTGTCTGCAGCGCATGTGCGAGCGGCGCGGTTGTTGAGTACAGGTAGTGTTGTAGAGAGCCCCCCCTGGCGAGCTCCACGACCAGGCAAAGGTGGGGGGCAATGGTCGAAGCTGCGTATAGCGCGGCCACGAACTCAAAGTGCAGACTTGAGTGAAGGCGAATCTCCTTCCTCAGGGAGCGGATACAGTCTCGCTGGAGGCCGCCCGTGAGGAGGTGCTTCACTGCTACGTCCGCCCCGTTCCACTTGGCCGTGCGCACTTCGCCGAACCCCCCCGACCCCAGCAGGGTGCTGCCGTCCAAATCCAGGTCTTTGTCGTAGTCGATTTCGACCCAACCCGTTAGCTCCGTGCGCTCGTCTTGTCGGAGAGCCTATCGGACAACAGCAGCGCATGTCGCCGAGAAGGATGGAGAGGTGAAGCATGCGATACCTTAGTTTCGTATCGAGGTGAAGAAGCACCGATTTTGTGTGGTGTGCTCACTTGGGTACCACTTTGTTTGATAAATGACAGAACAACCCATTCACCCAAACACTATCTCGCGAAACGCATTGACTCGTCAGATCTGTCGCGGACGTCTACCAGGAGACCGGACAGCGCACAAAAGCGGCACAATGATGGAGCGCCTTATGCTCACCTTCAACACACCCATAACTTCTTCGTGGTTGTCCGTGCGGTTGCGCTCCATTCTTTCCATGATGCCCACCATGTTCTCGAGGTCATCCAGGCGGTCCGATGCATCCTCTTTCGCCCAAGCGTCCACGGCAATGTCCAGCTGAAGTGCCTGCATCCCCTCGGTGAGCATGACGCTTAGCTTCGCGAAGTTGTCGGCGTTCGCTTTTCGCTTCAGCGCGCGATTGAAGTTTGTCGTTCGCGCGTACCCCTCCAAGAAGTTTCGGATTTCCTCTACGGCCAACAATAGCTGGTGCAATGACTCGGAAGAAGAAACTTTGGAGCCCTCCTTGACGGCGAGCACAGGAGACTCGATGGCCGATACTCTGTCGGACAACCGCCACGCCTGCCCGTCTTTCTGTTGAATCCTTTCCGCAACATTGCGGATGTCGGCCACTACGCGAAGAACGGCTACCGCGACGTCTGCCATAAAGTCCTCCCTTGGTGAGAGGAGAATGCAGCGCCTTTCCTGTCACGTCAGTTGAGCCAGAGAGTGGCAAGTGCGGCGGGATGACTTCACTCACTTGTATTCAGAGCACGTGATGGGTAAGAACACCGTGGACGGGCGGTTTGAGTTGCATGGGCAGCCAGCGATTGGCTAGCTTGCAGTCCGCCGGCATGCTCGCGGCAGAGGACTACGCGCACCTTGATCGATACATCGGGTGGCTCAGTTCTGGGTGTTGGGAGTGTAGAGCAGCTCGGCCATGGCGGAGATGGGTAAAAACTTGTTGTATTCATCGGGGGCGTGGTTGAGCTCGTCAATCGGTCACGGCATCAAGTCACGCATCACGCTCAAAAACCAAAATAATCTCCATCATTCCATCATTCTCCCATACATGGCAACTTCTCGTTCCTCCGAACCTCATCACTGCGATCTCGTAGTAGATGAATACCCAATATATCACCCGTCATATTGGGTATTCATCTCAAAACAAGAAATATACTCCTCCAACACACTCAAGAAAATTGCGAACACAACAATCAAAATTATACCTTCACCATACTCTCTCTCTCTCTCTCTCTCTCTCTCTCTCTCTCTCTCTCTCTCTCTCGTTCTTCGAATACTTGCTTCACCTCAAATTCATCACAATGTCACGGTGCACTGCCAAAGACTCCCTTGCCAATAGTCTTCGTCAAAAAATCTTCGTGCTGAAATTGCGTCGGCACATGAATGATTGGATCCTCTTTCCTCTCAACGAGCTCCCTGATAAAGTGATGCCGTACATCGATGTGCTTCGAGTTGGCGCGCGTGATCGGGTTGTGCGCAATTTGAATCTCTCCCTGGTGATCCTCAAAAACAGGGATGCACGGCATACTCGCATCTGGCAACATAGCGCCACACCTGCCTCAAGAACAACACTTCCTTGAAGACGTCGGTAATTGCAACATACTCCACGTGAAAAGCGTAACGCACTTTTTGCGTCCTTGAAAACCAAGTCACATAACCCACCCCCACACATCACTAGCCCTCCCGACATCGACCTCCGGTCTGCCGCCTTGCTTGCATAGTAGGCATCTGCAAACACGGGCATACTCATACCGGTCACCACTCCCCACTCAAATGTCATCCCCATACAACTCGCCCGACGTACGTACCCTAAAATACCGAGTGCTGCCTTCCAGTGCACCAGCTTGGGAGACGCGCACTACCGCGCTACTGCTCGTACTGCGTTCGCGAAATCTTCGACAAACCTCTGGTACGAAATCTTCAACAGACCTCTCCCTACATCTCTTTCGTAAGAGCACTCGGAGTACCGCTTGAACTCTCCAAGGTTCTTCACGGGGACCATGTCGTTGAGATCCCTGCCAAACTTGTCACACCTCTCCTTCTGCCCTACAGCAAAAATGTCATCCACGTGGACCACGATGATCATGATCACGCGTCCCTCTTCTCAATCGTAAAACACATGCATCCGCCAGACACTGCAAAAAACACTTACAGTATCAACCACTTCGTCTGGTGGGCATTCCATCGTCGGGATGCCTGCTTCAAAACGCACAGACTCTGGCATAGCTTCACGATCAGACCAGACAACCTGCCACAACCGTGCGGTAGATGCACGAAAATATCCTCATCAAGGTCCGACGGTGGGTGCAAACAATTCTTCAAAATCAATCAAAGCCCTCTGGATATTCCCATGCGCTTCAAGTCTAGACTTGAATTTCGTCAGCCATCCATACTCGTCTGCCTTCCAGCGAAAGACCCACTCTCTACTGGTTGCTGCACTGGCTCGAACGTTCCTGCATCTAACAGACCAAAAAACTCGCGACCGACTGAATCTTGCCACAACTCTGAGTGTTGGGACCGCATAGCCTCCTTAAACGTCCTCGGCACGCGGAGGTCGCTGGCGAGGCAGCGAGAAAGGTCCGGCGTCTTGGCGCTCGGCGCGAAGAGCGGCGTCAACGTCCTCGCGGGTTACAAACATCGTCGCTAGTACATGCGGCCTCCCGCACCCAACGGATTCCCCGCCCCCCCCGGCCCCCACGCCCCCCCCCGCTCCCACGGCCTCCAAGACTCGGATCCGGCGGCGGAGGAGGCGGTAGGTCGCGGCGTTCTTGATCCACGGCCTCCCGGATTGCGAGCGACGAGATGAGGCCGTCCTTGTCCATCATGGTCAACAGTCCAAAGAGGTGTTGGAGAGCGGTGCCGCTACCGGACGGCGACCGCGGATGTTGTTGCTCATCTTATGCACCGCACCCCATCGCCGCGCGTACGGCCACGAACCCTCGTCTCCTCTCGTCTCCTCTCGTCCCAACTCCTTGGCGGCTCGTATAAAAAGCGGCGGGTGCGAAGGAGTGGGAGCGGCGGCGATGGCGGGCTGCGGCGGCGGCGTCGGCGGCGGATGGAAAGGCACGGCGGCGGTGGACGGTGGAGTCGGTGGTGGGTGGAGCGGCGTGGTTGTGGTGGACGGCGGCGCTGACGAAGACGCGACGGACATCGGCGGCGGAGCTGAGGATCCTGCGAAGATCGGCGGGAATACCGGCGGCGGTGCTGCGGTAGTCGCTGTTGCGGGCGGGGTGTAGACGTATGTCCGCGATGGCGTCGGCGGTGGCGGTGAGGCAGCGGCTGCAGGCACGGCGGCGGCCGGCGAGGGCGCCGCGGTGACCGAAGAACCCCCCTCGATGGCCGGCACCAGCGCCGGCTCGCCTGACCTGCGGTTGACCCACACAACGTTGATGGTGATGGCGAGCCTCCCGATGTCAGCGCAGAGAAGGACGGCAGTAGCTGTCGAGTGGTTGTTTGCGCTGTGCAGATAGAAGCACCGCGCGGATTGGACGTCCGCCTTGGTGGTCCGCTTGACGCGCATCATCCCCTCCTGGGAAAATAGGACGACGTCGAGCGGCGGCTTCCGTCCGATGATGAAGGTGGAGTGCCTCACACCGGCAAATTACGCATGACAGAGATGAAGCGACTAGTACCATGGGATGGGGTAGAGAAGCTAGGGGAAGACCAGCAAGCCAAAGTTGTTGATTTTCAAGTCCAACATGTTAGCCATGCTCACACAGGAGGGTGTTCGAGATGCAATTTTGAGTGCCGTGCCCATCAGGGTAGGAAAAGATGGAGTAGACATGGAGAAGTTGGTAAGCGAGCACAGCAGGCAATCGGTAGACAAGGCAGTAGCAGCATGGCACGTTCTGCTCTCATTTGTGACGTATCTGCCAGTTCTGACCCAGACGTTAGCAGACGAAAGCCCAAGTGGTGCATGGAATATTTTCCTCAGGTACTATGAACCCCGAGCGGACGCTGAGAGAGTGCGACTGACCATAGATTACCATGAGATTAAGAGGTGAGTTTTGCCCGCTTGGAGTTCGTAGTACTTGAGGAAAATATTCCATGCACCACTTGGGCTACCGTCTGCTAACGTCTGGGTCAGAACTGGCAGATACGTCACAAATGAGAGCAGAACGTGCCATGCTGCTACTGCCTTGTCTACCGATTGCCTGCTGTGCTCGCTTACCAACTTCTCCATGTCTACTCCATCTTTTCCTACCCTGATGGGCACGGCACTCAAAATTGCATCTCGAACACCCTCCTGTGTGAGCATGGCTAACATGTTGGACTTGAAAATCATCAACTTGGCTTGCTGGTCTTCCCCTAGCTTCTCTACCCCATCCCATTGCTAGTCTCTTCATCTCTGTCAAATAATATGCCTGTGTGAGGCGCTCCACCTTCGCTATTGGGTGGAAGCCTGAGCTTGCCAGAGTTGGCGTTGGCGAGGGTGCTGGCGACGTCGTCGAAGGACCGGTTGGCAGATGTTCGTCCCGCAGTGTGCTTGAGACGTCTGATCCGTTCCTCTCGTTCCCGGCTGGCGTACTCGGCAAGCCTGGCAAATTTGGCCTCGGCCAACTCGTTGGTCCGGGCCTCCTCGTCCTCGCGGCGAACTGTCTCTTGATCTTCGTCGGAGTTGGGGGAAGACATCTGTGCACTGCTGATCGCCGCAAAGCGATGCACTCCAAATTAAGCTCGACGCGAGTATCGTAGACGACGTCTCATACGATCGCGTGATCGATAAATCGGGTGGCTCAGTTCTGGGTGTTGGGAGTGTAGAGCAGCTCGGCCATGGCGGGCCGTAGATGGTTAATAGCTTGTTGTATTAGTCGGGGGCGTGCTTGAGCTCATCAATCGGTCACGGCATCAAGTCACGCATCACGCTCAAAACACCAAAACAGTCTCCACAAATCTTCACCATTCTATCGCACTCCCAAGGAAAATACAAGCATAGAGATGGATGGATTCGTTGGGTCATAGTGTAGGAGATGTAAAGAATTACGAAACTTCTCGTTCCTCCGAACCTCATCACTGCGATCTCCGTACGTACATGTGTACCCAATATATCACCCGTCAACATGCAATGCTACGAGTTATATCGAATACACTTCTCAGGTTGGGAGGGGTTGTTGGTGGGCAGCAAGACTTTGTGTCGGGCTGGTACATGAAGGTGCAGATGAAAGCTCGGATAAACTAAGCGTTTCTCGTCGTGGAGTGTGCGAGGTTTCGATGCAGTTCGTGCGAGCTGAAAGAAATGGTGCATGTGCGCGAATGGATTCGGCCCAGAGGTCTCGACGCCGTGAGAGCGGTGTATGTGTGCGTCCATGTCGGGAGGGAGAGAGAGAGAGAGGGATGACGCCTGGAGCCAACAGACGTCTGCAGGCACGGCAGTTCATTCATTCAAATATGAATGCTTGGAATTGATGCATGGACCTACACGACTAGGAAAGAACTTGCGTGTCACTTGAAAGGAACACCTACTATATATATACCACTACAATACACCACCGTCATTCAAAGGAGCGCATGACACCCACCCTCACATGACGGCAGATGCTCAAACTTGCTCTCAATGCACAATACAGCGATGACTCACACCGAAAACTCACACAGAAACCAGAAGCACCAACAACAGCAGTAGAATGGAAAGCATTCACTCCGCCGTGCGTCGTATGTGCGCCAAAGAAGTGCGGGTTGGCGCCTAGCGAGGGGCTGTAGAGCGCTGGATATTGTAGGGAAAACAGAGAAAAATGGCGGACACAGAGAGTCGGTACTCGCCACGCTACACGCGAGGGAGAGAACGATTGCGCGCTACATTGCGCTACACAGGAGTTTTTAGAAAGTAACCTCACAGAACTACTGTACCCGTTAGAAATATCATACCCTCAGCCGAAAGGGATGTAGACTATGTGTTGAAGTTTTATCAGTAAGTGGATTGAAACCAAGGAGTTTGTTCCCAAAATCCATCGGAGATAAAGCAGTAGCTTTGCCTGTCCCCTGGGAGTTCAGGAAGAACAGCGTATTTCGAAAGCGGAGACCTCAAGCGCACGCCGATTGAAACCAGGAGAGGGCACAGAGAGGTCGGTGCATGCCGCTTGTAAGTCTCGCACATCCACAGGATGACACCCACCCGCCGTGATCCAATCCCTTCTATAGGTGAAAAGCACAGCAGTAAAATAACAGCAGACCTGGTGCCCGCTCTCTGGCTCAACGACAGGGGAGTCTTGGCGGTTGGAAAAATGAAAAATGGATGGGTGAAAACTGAGGTCCTGCCTACAGCACCAACAACAGCAGCGGAGAGCGAATTTGAGGCGCGCGCGGTTGGCGCTGTGGACTGTTGACCCAGGCGCCACGTAGGAATCAGAACAATTATCGGGATGACGTCTTTCGCTGGACAACAATAGGGCGGGTGGCGGGTGATAATAACGGGAGCAAACAAACAAACGACGCCGCCTCGAGCAAAAGCGAAACATGATGAGAGAAGCCAAGAGAAGAAGCTGAAAGTTGAATGTGACAAACACGGTCCATTTCGAGAGAACGAGCTGGCTACTGCCACTTTTCCACCGGCTTTTGACACCGCGCTGCCCGGGACCTACTGCTGTTGCTCATTTTTGGCTGTGGGTGCGGTAGGTAGGTGCCGGTACACTGCGTCAAGGGGCGTATTCCTCCGCTGTTCGGGAGCGGATTGTTGTTGTCTTCACATTAAAAACCGTTCCGATCTCTCTCCACCAGAGTACCTTCATTTGTCCGTACTGGTCCAACACTTGACGCGAATGCACATGTCTTGAAGAGTCGCTCAATACATTCCGGAAACGTACTGGAGATTGAGATATGCATACACATACAGTATGCGAAGTGCGGAGGAAGTCTCCATCACACACAGCACACAGAGCATCGCAGATACAGACTGCTGCAGGTTGACTCCTTATCTACGATTGCCTCAACCCTAGCCCTCTTTTGTGCAGCAGGCAGAGAGACAGACCCCTCGACGCCAGACGACAAAAAGGAAAAACACGAGAAAAGACGTCCAAGCCATCTGGCGCACGCCTTCAACGGAAAACAAAAAACAGAAGGTCATTGCGCAACCGAGACGGTCTCGCCTTACACTGATTTTTGACTCTCTACCTCTCTGTATCTCTTTATCTCTCCCTCTCCCGTTGATCCTCCCTCGTCTCTGTTTCTCCGTCTCTACAGCAGTTTCTCTTCACTCTCTCACTCCCTGTTGGTCTAGAAAAAAAAATGGGCGTATCATATTCGACTCTCATGACGAACGGGACAACGGGACGCCATATAGGTGTGCACCTTGTTTGTGCCTTATGGGCAAAGACTGCTGAATACATGCTCGGGCGTAGCGGTGAGAACAGGTGTTCTGCGCTCTGAAGGCTGGTAACGGGGGATCAAGGACAGAGAGGCAACCGTCCATCCCAATCGGCAAGGCGCGAAATGCGTCAACGTCGATGGAGAAAAAAACCCTGGTATCGTCTGCAGCTTGTACAAGGGGTAAGGTCTGCGTCTGTCTGCGGTTGGCATGTGTCACGCGCAGAGGTGTCAGCGAATTTGTCGTATTTTCACCAACACCAACAGAGCTGGGGCTGGCCACAAGATGGATAGGGCGAGAAAAAGGCGAAAGGGGTTTGGACAACGAGCGCGGTGTTCTACATAATAATAATAGCTCCAGCACCGCCGCAATCATCATTCATATCATTCATCTTGTCTCGGATACATCGAACCAACACATACCAACAGGACATGACATAGGGCACTCTAACCTTTCTTTCGCGGTCGCCTGCACTGGCTGGTGTAGTGGTTAGACCAGGGGTGTGGTCGCCACCCCCACCCGTGTGCATATATGTACAACAACACAGATATCCCAATCCACGGGGAACCAGCAGGAACCAACGCAGAAAGTCGTTCCGTGTTCTGTAAAAAAATACTTCGAAGTAAGATAAAAATGTTCCGCATCAATGTCCGTTCCCCTCATGCGACGAAACTGTTCATCATGTAGGACAGATCCGCATTTTGTTGGTTGGCGCAAATCGCCCATCATTTTCCACGGGCGCGGACCATTACCATGCGCCGATTGCCAGAGAGGTATGTGGACCTCCTGGGTCTTGTTTGAGTGATCATGTTGAACACGTTTTGAAATACAAGTCTGACGGGTCCTTTGCTTTTGTGAGATGTTGCCTACTCTTGTGTGATGATGGCACACGTTTTTTGGGGAGAGCACTGCGATTGATTGCTGCGGGAGATTGTGAATAGCGCGTCGTGTTTGCCTTCACGCAGAGGCACACGTACCCCTATCCCGTGCAAACACGAACAGAGTAGCCAACGTTTCCGTGCAGTCATGTACAGCATTATTTAGATGCGCTGGGCTGTTGTAAGGTAGGTGTACAGACTGCGTCTTTCCTACCGTACCGTTTCTCCTGTGGCCTTGAGCGGTGGGGCTGGCACTTCGAACCATCGTCCGCGGGGGCGTTGACCCTGCATCTGATGAGCTAATCAAATAAGTACACCTATGCATATCTACTTGGAAGCCAAGACACCCAAGTGCAACGGTATCCGCGGTCAATCCGAAACCTCGAGGTAGTACTTCGGTCACATGCGTCCGATTTGTTCACGCGTTTAACAACAAAGAGCGCAACTGACTGTCAGGGGCGCTGATGGAGCATAGGATTAACCTACACTACGGGGCACCAGATGCACCACGTGAACACACCAGCAGAAATACAAGGCCACAAACTACTCTATTCTCCAATCATATTTACCTCTGTTATCGACACCTGGCGGTCAAAACGAAATCGACACTACAGCGACACGCGACAGCTAACTATTTAGTGAAACTGACCTTGTGTCTGACTTGTAGCGGACAACAAACTCAGACAACGGGTTCGCCAAACAGGTCTGCTGTTTTTAACGCGAAAGACCAAGGTGAGACACTCTATACAAACACACCAACCCTTTCTTCTTACCACCACTTGGGCCTGGGTGACTTTGTCAAATAGTCGTGGAAAACCAACTGGATCGCCAGCTCTGGCAAAGACGCCGATCAAACGATGCCTCCTCAGACACAAAGCGCAGGCTTCTCATTAAAAAAGTGTCCCCACGCTCGTCTTCCACCGAGGGAAAGCGGGTATTCGCATGCTACGCATAGGTCAGACATTCTTGCTAATGGCAGAAACATCTCTCCAGAATTAGAAGTACGTCTACAATGTGATCCGGTCCGCGTCACAAATCTATTCTAGACGCTTTCACCACACCCTCAAAACATTCACAAACACGGACGAAGTCAGTCGTCCACATCTATCGCGTCCACGTCTATGACCCCGCTGTCTCCCATGCGCGAGAACTCCCGCTGTGTCCCCGCCTCGTCACGCACGTATCCCGACCCCACCGCTTCAAACTTTCCGTCTTTCGCCAAAAGCATCGCCCCACAACTGCACGCCGCAACAGGAGCGCGGGGGCGGGCGGGCGGGCGGGCGGGCGGGCGGGCGGGCGGGCAGGTTCGGAGTCAACGTCTGGACAAGAAGAATTTCGTCGCATCTCGATTTTATCAGACTTACGAGCGTCTTTTCTTGCAAGCGGTCGGCAAAACTGATCAGACTTATCGGTGTGCCAGCGGGTTGTCGGGTGTAACTGAAGCGAAGGGGACAGAGTCAGTCCTAGCTCTGCCTTGGGGCTACTTCGTAGGGCGTGCGTGTGTTCGTCCCATCTATCTATTCTGGCGCCAGTCTACACACCTTTCGGTGTATACGTTAGACGTATCAGCCGGGGGCACACAGACTGGAGAAAGGACTAGAAAAAAAACTGAGCCCCACCGGTCCTGCCGATGCAATTGAACAATGTTTTTCTGGACATGCTTTTTTCTGGAAAATATCTTGGGACTTCCCTGGACCTTGGTGCTTGTACCCTCTTGTCTCTACATGGGGTTTGCTAGGATATAGCTTGCGCGAGTTTCGTGGCCTTCTAGTGTTTGCCAATACGATAAAGCTTGTGGTTACTTAGTTTCGTTGCCTCCTAGTACCTAGTAGGGAAGAGAAGGTGCTGGATCGAGGTCAAAACGATTTCCACAGACCAATACTAACAGCTAGGGTGGGTGGGCAACACAAGACTGAAGCTTAAGGTTAGGTGGTGAGATGCTCCCATTTGATTGGTACGTGCTATTCACAATCACGTGCCGGGTGATTTGTCACAGTGAGGAAACCACGTGCCGGAGAAGCCTGCATCTCTTTTACGTACACGACGGGGCTTGAACAAACCCACGCAAGTAACGTACAGAAGTCGCGTACAGAAAACACCGGGCAGGATGTCATTTGAGCGCTCTAAGTGCCTCGACATCCTCAATGATCCTAGTGTGCGGGAAACATAAGGGCCCTGTCACAGCTCCGAAATTTGAGAGCTCGTTCGGCGAGCTCGTGAGAGTGTCGCACCTCGGACACTGGTTCTGCTTGTTCTTGAGTCCCTGCAGATCCACCCCGCATACCGGGCAAGGCGCGTCGACGAGGTTGATTCTGTTGTACAGGTTAAGCCCCGCGGAAAACAAGATCGGCCCGACGGTGATCGTCTGGGACACACACGCGCAATCACACGGCACAACGGTTGCGCAGACAATCATAAACCAGAATAAGCCAGAGAGAGAGCAAAATGGGAATGAACGAGTCGAGATGGAATTCCCACGTCATAACCTCCATATCTGGGCCCAACGGGCGGAGCGCTGGCGTCACGAGAGTGTAAAACAGGGCGGGGGCTCAGATGGGGCTGACGGGGGTTGCTAGGCGGGCTTGACGGGGGGTGGGGAGTACTTGAAAAAACGAGGGGTGACAATCAAACAAGGAGCGGCGAAATGAAAGCACGCAACACGATTTCCCACACAAACCTACCGTGTTTCCAGCAACCAAGCCACCAAGGCGAAAAACAAAAACAAACAAAAAAAAGCTTGGACTGTGGTATTATCTCGAACGGGTAGTCTTTCTGTGATTGCATGCACATTTTCTGATAGAAACAACAACTCACGTCGTGCCCGCACGCATGGAGAGAACCCCTCCACTTCCCAAGAGTTTGGGGGGGAACTACTGTGCCACCACACCCACTTCCCCAACGGCATAAAGGGAGCGGTCGGTTCATGAGGAGGCGATTTTCTGTCGGAGTGTGGAATCGCTTCTCATTTGTGAACGATAAGTCTTTCTCGTACTCGGGCGCCGTCATGCCACCCGACTGGTGTCAAGAGGCGGGTCTAGTTCCCTCGGTCACAGCTGCGGCATTTCCGCCGTAGGGTATATACGCAAGATACCACACCCTATGCATACAACAATTGTTCATGGTCGATTACGACTGCACCATGACGAGGATGTGTTTTCGGATAGCCCTCGACGAGACGATTCCAACGCCGCCCTTTTCGGCACTACACTAAATGACACTGGTTGTGCCATGAGGCCTTGAAAATCGGTCTAGGGGGTGTGGCATCTAATGCAACCTTGCTACGGCGGTAGTTATGCTCCCCATCCCTCCACGTAAGTACTCCCCAAACCTGAAAAATAACTACTTGGAAGTAATGAAAATAAACACACACCCCATATATATTTATTTATGTATGTCCTGCCCAAATCAAAAACAGATGATTGATGTACCATTTGTTTTCTGTGTATATGTCCTGCCCAAAATCAAAAACAGAAGATTGATCTACCATTTGTTTTCTGCACTTTCACTACACAACGCGCCACCACTTAAACTTTCGTAGCACTTGAGAACTTGAGCCTGACAGAATTCGATATCAAAGAACTTCGCCATACGAACAGGTGCAGTTCCGTCGTGGTATTCAGAACAAGAATCTTCCTTTCTTTGTGGTGTACCAATGCGAATACATACAAGAACGGAGCCCCAAAACAAGGCCGCAGCAAGATAAATAAGCACTCAGGATGGTGAGCAGTGCCCCAAAAGCAGTTAGTTTCAGATTCGGGGCGGGAGGGGACCTCGCGAAAGAATGCTTGTACGCGCGGAGGGGTGGTACTCATAGCCGTGCATGCCGTAGTCGTTAGACCATTGACATGGCATCCCTGCAAAGCCGGGAGACGGAGCACGCTCACCGGACCAGGCTTTCACATCACGAAGAGCGAAGCGCCGTGAGGTACTCGGCGAGTGGCGGGTGCGAGCCGAGGAGGGGGGGGGGGGGGGGCCCCAATCTTTCTATCCCATGCATTTTTTAAAATCCCTTCTGGGGGAAGGGGGGGGGGGGGGGTATTAAAACTTTATTTCTAATTATTCGAAGTTTCAAAGCGGGGAAGGAGGTCCCCAAAAAAAAAACCCCAAAATTTCCCTGAATTTAAAGGGGGGCAAAAAAAAAATGGGGAAACCCCCCTTTTTTTTTTTTT